ATTAGATAGAACTTTCTTTGTTACCTTGCTAGCAGGTCGGTATCCGCCAGAGGTCGCTAATCTCGTCCCATGGACCGGATGGCTCCGAGTCGAAAAAGGCTGCTGGCTTGCAGGGTTCGATGGCCGGAGGCTTTGGAGGTCAACTGCCGCACTGTAAACTACAAAGCACTTCCAGACTGCATGCTTCGCACTCTGCGGCCACCTGCAACGAGGCGAACCCTGAGCCCTCAACCCGACGGCTTCCATTTTCCGTCCCCAAGACTACCAAAAACCAAAAGCTTCCCCCATACAGGAGTGACGACTGGCAAAAGGCCGATGAACAAGCCCCAACTGTTTAGATCGATGCACAAGAGCACGATAGTGGATAGCGAAAAACAATTGCAAACTTGTTGCAAGAGTCATTGATCTCCAAACCGGACATCCCCTAGAGGCCCTAGAGTCCAGCCCCTTAAGCCCCGAACCCTAGAGCTTTCTTGCCCTGGAGCCCCGATGCTTTATTGCCAATGGCCGGAGTTTTCGCAGCCCTCGGCCGCCTAGGCGGCGGCAGCGACAGCTTCTGCGATTTTGTGTCTCCGGTACTTTAGGGGTCCAAGCGGTTCATCTACCAGGTTTAGGGTTTAGGGTTTAGGGTTGTCGACGAGGCATCCGAAGCCATCATAGGGGGAATGCTACTGGCGCTACGGCAGAAGAGGATTTGTCCCATGTGCTTGTTTTGTCGTCGAGGGCAGTCCCTGCTCGGAGCCACACCGCCGGAGTCCCAGAGCGCATGTTTCGGGGCTGCCGCGCAAGTCCGAGTTTTTGAGCCTTTCGGCAACCGAACCGGAAGCGCCTCGACGCCGATCCCGTTCAGGCTGCAGCAAGCACAGCGCCACCTCGCTTCGGACGAGGACCGTCCCGGCAGGATCTGTTGGCGGCACAGGTCCGAAGCCCGAAGCTTTAAAGGTATAGCATGGTATGCATGGTGTAGCAAGGCTTCACACCAGACCAGCTACAACCCAGGTCCGAAGCCTCGATTTTCGCGCCAGGGTGCCTTCGCATGGCGCGCCTGCGAAGACCTGAAGTTCCAGGCAAGTGCAGAGGCGCACAGAGCACACACACTTAGAGTCTGGTCGGAGGTGCCAAACACGAGCCTCCATTGACGGGGTCCCAAGATGATTCCAACACGACGGCACTGTGTGGATTAGCAAAAAGACTTGGAACAAGCTGGCAGGCCCTGGCCACGGCCGGAGTTGCAGCAGCTTCCGTCGGGCGTCTCGAGGAGGCTGCTCCCAAAAAGTTGGGGCTTTGCGGGTTCATTGGCCCCTTTGTGAGTTTCGTGGGAGGTGGGAAGTTGAGGGAACCTACCAGCTTTGTGCAGGCAGTGGACATCCTGAGACGTGCTGCTCGGCTGCACTGCGTCCACAAGAGACCTGACATCGTCAAAAAATGTTTCGCAGTGCTTATTGGTATGTCGCAGGCAGCAGCGATGGACGGGCCTCGGCCAGAGGACACGAAGCGGGAGTGCTGTTCTGCAGGGTTGCGATGCAGCTCCACCCCGCTGCTCTTTGTGCATTGCCAACATAGCCAAGATTCTGGAAGTCCAGCTGGAACGAAAGGGACTCTCAGAAGACAATGGGTGTCGTTGTGATAGTCACTGGAGACAGCAGACCCGATTCTTCCCACGTCACTCACGCTGGTGAACGATCGAACTGCAAACGCTGGGGCCGGCCTGACTGAAAGCGGGTTCAAGCCCGAAGAACGCAGAATCAGAAGCCACCAAAAGCCCGAAGGAGAGGGCCGGCTGCGAGGCGCTAAGGGACCGCGCCGAGGCAGGACCTTTCCCTGTTACGAGGAACCCAAGAGTCGATCCGCATTTCAAGTGCAGCTTCTTCATAGCTGTCCTGGGCCATACTCATTCTACTCATTCCTATCAGATGCAGTGGCACTGTCAGCAGTCTGCTTTGCGTCGCGTGTTGCCTTCGAAAGCCTCCAAGAGGGCATAGCAGAGCCAAGGCGCTGCTGGCGCAGAGCAGAGGCGAGCGTGGGCTGCTTTGCGGGCCGCTGCTCAGCTCAGGATGTAGCTGCAACTTTCAGGGCTGCTGTAAAGGGTACTTGAAGTTCAAGGGTACTTGGGTTTTGGGGTTCAGGGCTGTAGGGATCAGGGGTTGCCGTGGGAGGTCTCGTGGTTGGGGCTCAGCTGTGGGTGCACTGCTGTTTCTGGGTGAAGGGTGGCCCCAAACTGTAAAGTCCCAAAACCTTTGATTTAAATTCAAGCACGACGATACCAACTCCCAACGAAGCAAGCACCCGATCCCTTCCGAATTGAGCCGAGGTTCTGGCGACCAGAGCCCCCGCCACCGCTCCCTTTGCCCTCGACCTGGGAGTCCTGGGCCAGCGCCATGCCTCGAGCCGGAAACCTACGACAGGGGCCTTCAGCTTAGAGTATCTTGAAGTTTTATGAGGGCTATGAGGGTCTGTTTTCGGAATGTATATATTATAGGGGGCCGGAACAGCTCGAACATGGTTTTGGGATGTGTTGGGCCAGAATTATCTAGAGACAGGAAGGGAATAGTTCATCGATCTGGGCTCCAGGATGTTCGGGCTTTTGAGGGTTTCCATAAGGGTTGCGACAACAGGGGTTCGTTTAAGAGTTGAAAAAAGGGTTACACTCACCCCGACCATGCTGAGGTTCCCTGCCAAAAGGGATATCGAGTCTCCAGGAACTTGTCGAACTTCACCGCCAGGTTGCCGAGTTTGCCGGCCCGGTGGAAGTGTGGCGCGCCCAGATTGGCCGTAAAGACACGAACAGCTGGTCTCAGTGCGAGAGTAGCCTGTGTGACAAGCAGGGCAAACCAAGAAAGAGGCACCCAAAGCCGAGACCGAGGCGAAATCACCAAACAATTGGCATGCAATGATGAGTTTCGCGGTGTTTGGACCGTTCCCAACAGAAGTGAATTGGTCAATGTGTTTCAGTGTTTTGTTATTCATGTTGTTGTCCATGCTGTTGGTGCTTCGAACTAGACGCCGTCTCGAGATGAGCATTGCAGCATCGAGTCGATTGGCTGATGTCGCACCACTTGCCTGGATGATCGCACGGATGCTCCGTATGCAGGCGAGTAGGTCAGGCGCAGACCAATCAGTCGATCAAAAAAGGGCTGATCTCCAAGTCTTTTGCCTACCCCGGCAATGCAGGACTGCCCTGTTGGTATTTGCTCGATGCAGTCTTGCGCTGTGTCAGAGTGTGGTCAAAACTTCCAGTGTAAAGAAGTTTGAATTTATGAAATGCAATGAAGAGGTGTGTTCGTCAGCTGCTCAAGACATAGAACCATTGGCGACCTGATGCCAGAGATGATGCAACGTGGCCTTAGTCTGAGCACGCCAATACCTGATTGCACATGGGCAGCCGAAGGACGTCAACATCTATGGCACCGGTGCCAGCAAAGTAGTTGTAATCGTACTAGCATGGTTATCACGATTACTATTCCTATGATTGCGACTCTTGCTAGTATCATCCTTATTTTGTTTGTTGTGTGGCGTAGTTGTCGCTACCGAGCAGTAGGCCAGGGGAGACTGAATACTAGTAGGTTTTTGTGCTGCCTTTCAGAATTATGAGAATCCCTATTAGTCCGCTCTACGGCTTGTTGTAGTTGCTGCTCCCTAGCAGCAGCAGCAACACTTCCCCCGATCTAGTCCCTGTCGGAGCGGTAATGGCTGCAGCTGCAAGCAGGGACGCAGGAGGCTTGGAGACTTAATTTTGTTAGTCTTGCATGTTCATGTATTTCCGCAGTGTCGACCTTGTTGCCGTGACCCTACATGTAAGAAGGGAGTCGTGATTGCTGGGGCCGTGCGGCCACTTTTGTGGGAATATCTTCCCATGTGGATGTAGCATGAAACATGGTTATGTCTTCCTGCAAGGTCAAGATTTGTGGGGAGTTACGCTTCCACAGCGCGGCGAGACTATTGGGGGTCGTCAAACTTTGAACGCCACCCAGTATGCCCGAAGAGTGGCGGCGGGAAAGGGTTTCTATTGTCACGGCATCCAAAGTGCTCGAAGCCCCTTGTCACTTCTACGAAGTCGAAGCCCCAACCTCCAAAGCGCATGCGTGCATCCTCTGTGCATCAAGCAATCACTTCTCGTTGATGTCAGGTGTGATGCATCCCGGAGATGTCAGTGGAGTCATGGTCCCTGGGTCTGCAGGGCCGGGTGATGTAAGGTTGCCTTTCGGCCAAGGTGCTACTCAGAGCTTTCGAAGACTGGACCAAGGCAGCTGCTAATGTCAGCACAGTTTCACAACGAGGGCATGCCACGTCTTCATAGGTGCAAGTTATGTCGACTTCGAAGCCGACATATCTCACCCCATTTTATTGCGGCCTGTGGCAAAAAATCCGGGCAGGAGCACGGTGCTCTTCGTCCTGCTGACATCGGTCGGTTGACACTTGTTGTGCACTGGATGGGTCTTGTGCAGTCTGTGTATCGCATGATGCATAGAGCGGTTTTCAGGAAATCTTGTGCATGACTTTCGGCCAGTGCCTGTGCTTTTGCTGCACGGCATGGCTTCAGAATATTCAGATCATAGCAGAAGTGGAGCTGACAGCCTTAGGCCTCGGCTGTAGCATGAAAGAGATGAAGTGACGCAGGAGGTGAAGAGGAGGAGACTAGGACACATGCGGTTGTCTGTGGCAGTACTGAACGCTCCTGCGACACCGCCAGAGCCCGCTGAAATATTGATATCATAGCGTTTGCACGTTATGCTTGCGAATTCCACTGCACGTCATGAGTGCTGCAGTTCCTTTCTCCCTCGTAAAGGCGACCGAGGACTACGTACACTCTAAGAGCAAAAATGTAAAGCTGAGCTGCTGTCTGACACTTGACCTAGCACCAAGAGAACACGGCATGTGACACTACTGAGCACGCTCACAATGCACAGATGCGGCTGCTGTCAAGAGTGGTTTTCGGTGCACGGAGCTTGAGCACTCGTTTTAGTAGTTTCCCTTCCAGCTCATGCCTATGTGACGCCCAGGATGCGCCAGCAAGGTTATGCCCCAACACAAGCCGAGCTGGCACGATACGCCAAGGCGCCTGGTGCACAAAGGGGCGTGCTGTCGCTATTCATGGAAATTGCGCTGATGCCCGCCAAAATGGTAGATCTGTGGTCATTCATGAATTTTAGGTTGCCTTCAAGTCTGCCTGCTGGACCCCACCAAAAACCCGCGTCCCAATCTCTCGCTGATTGTTTTTCTGAGAACCATAAATTGAAGCCGCCCCGAAAGGCCGCAGAGATGGGCGCTAGCGCAACCGACTTTGCCGCCTGGTGCCGGGAGACGGGGTACAAGGCCGCTTCAGGGCATCGTGTGCCGAGGATCTCTGATTTGCTCATGCTTGCTTCATTAGCAGGTACAGTCGTGATGAGAACGGTTATAAGTTATTGCTGTTAGACCTCTTTCGGCTGGGATGACTGCACTGCCTCTGATCTCTCTGACTGTGGGGCTTGTGGTAATAACAGGCATGCAGTGCCTATGTAAATCCTCGGCACAGAAGGATGCCGAAATAGTTCCTATTCGGAGTTCTCCGAGAGCTTGTGCTGGTCGATGTACAAACCCAGCTGACACAACGCAGCTGTGAATCGCAGTCTGGACAAACTCCACTGAAGAATCCATAACTTAACTCTCCTCGCAACGCAGGTCACACCTCCCTGTGCCCAGCTTTCGTTGTCACATCCGACGGTTGAATACATGAAGCCACCGAAAGCCTATCGTGTGTCCGAGCAGACTGATAGCATCTCTGGTCGCAGGATCCTAGCTTCGAAGAGCTGATCTCCTTCTTCGCCCCGTTCGACCCGGAGCCTTTTTGCAGACGAGCTGTAGGCTTGCGTGTGTCGGCGCTTGAGGAGTTCATCTAGGGCTTCACATCCGCAGTTGGGACATGGAGCAGAGGGCAGAGGATGTATACAGTTTCTGCAGTTCTCGACTTTGACGGAGCTCGAGGTTCCTCTCTTTTTCGGTGGTCTGTCCCTTTCTGAGCTTCTCCGCAGCTTCTCCAGTTGCGTCACTGCAAAGGAGGGCAGTGGCTTCGTGCCCTTCCGTGTGTTCCGGCAGCTGCTGAGTCATGGCGAGGCCTGTTCTGCCCGGAAGGCAGTACAGTAGCGACAATTCTGTAGTTCATTTCTCGAAGCCGGAACATCCAGAGAAGTATGTCCGCCTCGGGCTCATAGGATGCAGGGGACTTGACAAAGACTATTGTGGCTGGTGCTGCCGAGTTTGCCGTCTCCATCGTGTGGTCACCGCTCCACAAAGCAGGAAGCCAGAGTCAAACATAAGGCTCAAATCCCAACAAACACTGTCAAGCCTCAAACCCTGAGGCATTCGATGGTAAGGAGCTAGACGCCGCGTGGGCCTGCTGCAGATTGGAAGAGTGTCACGGGTTTGGAATGAAGAGTGCTGTGTGTGCCCGTGCTCCGGTGTTTTCGGTTCTGCTGGCAGCAGTTCAAGATGTGAGCGCCAAGCGCAACGGGAATGTCCGGAGTGTTTATCGTCTTTGTTGTGTGTGCCTTTTGTGTCCTTGTGTATCAGTGTAGCTTATTTTTAGGGGCTTGGCTCAACCTTTGACGCCATTTTGTCATCTCAACACCTGAGGCTTGGGGAGATCCGAGCGAAGGCAGGTGCCGGCGGCGAGGTCCGGCTGCAGGGGTCAGGGTCATAAAAGTGCCAAAACATTGGTTTCAAGTGCAAGGGCAGGGATGGTCATGAGATATTTTTCGCGCAGGAGTTTGCCCCACCAACGGAGCAGGGTCAGATGCTTTGGCTTGTAGTTGCTATTGACTTTGCTCGGTGCCCGAAGCACCGCCCGAGCAATTGGTTCAAGCTTCGCGAGGACCTTGTGAACTACCGGGACTTCGTGACTTTGGCCTTGGAAAGATGACCGGTCCAAGGCCAGCCGGGCCTGAAGTGTCGCAGAGTTTCACACCAAGCAGCTTCAGTCGAGCCAAAGCAAGTGCGAGCGAAGCTCTGATAGGGCGGCTAGTGGCTAGGTCCTAGCGGCTAGGTCCTTGTCCCGGCCGTTCAGAGTTTCACACCCTCGCCGGAGAAAACGGGGCTGTTCGCCACGAGCCAGATGCATGCATCGTCTTCCTGATGCGACCTTCCGACGTTTGCCCACAAGCGCCCCCCGAAACAACATGGAAATACTTGGCACCTAGCAAAGAGTGGCAAGCCTTGAATACTTCATACTCTCGTGCCCACCTGAGGCGCTGGATGGACGGCGGGGCAAGTGGCGAGCGAGGGTCGGCTCCCGAGCAGCTACAGCGCACAGCAAGAGCGGCGTATCAGCAAGCTAATTCGACCTGAAGTCCTGGCTCGGTGCAGGCTCTACACTTCCAGGCCTGTGTCGGCCTGCTCCTGAGAAAATCAGTCGTGCTCGGAGTCGTGCTCTGTTCTCAGATGCTAAAAGAGCCCAGATCGTCTAGGTCTGACACGTTTTGCTTCAGGCTGCAGTGGACAACCGGGGTAGCCCGAGCCAAAGGGCCAAAAGGAGCAAGACGTAGCATCCTGTTTACAATGACGGGCCTCCGAGGAGCATCAAACGACGGTTGGTCTCGCTTTCCACGTGATACTTATGTAGCGAAACCCGCTGCTGCGATTGTTTTGCTCCCCTATGCACTTTTGTTGCACTGGGCTGCTTGAATGAACGAGATGGAGCTCTGGAGTTTCATCCATGGCATGTGTGTATGCGGTGCACTTTAGAGCTTTTTTCTGTATGGCTGGTCATCAAAGCGTTCACTTCATGGCGTACCAATCTTTCGCCTTTATACTACTGCTTCCAAATCCAGTTGTTTCTTATCTGTTGGCCTGCGCAGTGCGTTAAAGATAGGTGGTCGTCGACGCCGTACTCTTGTAGAATAAAGCAGATCATATCATGTCCTGACCCTGGGGCATAAGCGGAAAAGCATCGCAACGCCCTGTCAGAATCAGGCTGGCGAGGTTCTTCTCGTGGCACTTCCAATTGCGGAGGTGAGATTCATGTTCTGAGGTTTGGGCATGAATGAGGAGTTTCATACTTGTGCTATGTACATACCTAAGCTGCATAGGACTCCCGAAAGATTGTCCAGGTGAGTGCCAAGAGATGTGTGGGATGTATGTAGTCCCACCCTGTGGCTGCTGCGGGGCATGTCGTGTGGAGGCTCTGCAGAACGGCCCGGCATTGGTAGCAGCTCTGCAGCAGCGCTGTGCGCGGCCAAGCCGTGTTTTGCAGGATACGCCGTGTTAAGCAGGTGGTGGCGGCGGTGGTGGTGGTGGTAGTAGTAGCAGACGTAGTAGTGGCAGGAGTCAGGAGTAGTAGTAGTAGTAGTAGTAGTAGCAGCAGCAGCAGCAGCAGCAGCAGCAGCACGCAGCAGCAACAGTAGCAGTGGCAGTTGCAGTAGTCGTCGTTGTGGTGGTGGTGGTGGTGGTAGTCGTCGTTATCGTCTTTGTTGGGGAGGAGTGCTGCTAGTGACCGCTGCTGCTGCTACTGCTTCTGTGAGAAGCCACAAGAAGTACCCGCCACTGGCGTGACTGCGACGACGACATTCGATTGAATGCTTGTGGAATCCTCGCGATCGAGGCCGGGTTTCTGGACGCGCCAGACGTCGGCTCCGCTGCTTGGCCGACGGCGGGGGTGCAGGCGCCGGACGGTGGGGGGTTTTTGGATTGGGTCTTTTGCAGCTTGAGATGGACATTGCAAAATAAAATCCAGGGCCAGGGACAGTCTTGGTGTTTGGGTCACTGTCCCACTGCTCCACAGGTCGTGCGCTGTCACCAGAAGAGCTGGCTCAGGCTGCAAGGGCCGCACGGGCTTTCTCTGGCAGACAGCCATTCAATCCTTGCCCACTCCTCCTCCCTGAGGTTTGCGATGAATGTCTGCCGACCGGCAAGAGTGAGAGTTGCAACCCTAAGCTTCATGTTTGTCTCAAGGGGCTTGGAGTGTGCCTGCCAGTCCACCTGCCCTGGCAAACATCAACAAAACCTGCGAGGCGTTGTACCCGATTCCCGATGAAGTGCCAGAGCCACTGCCAGAGGGACAGGCGCGCTTGTCCAGTTCGTGCGCAGACCCAGCGTGATGATGGTGTCCCCTGAACCCTAAACCCCTAAACTTTAAACCCTAACCATGAACCTCGCCTGGCATGTCCGAGTTGTGAGAGCGTAAACCCCTAGACCCTAAGCCCTAAACCCCGCGCGCCTTGTGCGAGAGTGAGAGTCAAAACCCTGTCGCGTTTTGAAAGGATGGTCGAGTGAAGTAACGAATTTAAGCGTTGTGAGTGTGAGTCTGGGTGAATCTGCCATGCTCTCTCTAGCCAATGTGCCGTCGCCGAACCAGAAACCTCTCTAGGCTTGTCTCATGTGGGTAGTTCCCTAAATTGGGACCCCTTTTGGGGGTCCGTTTTATCTGCCATACATTGGGGACCCAGAAAGGGATCCTAATTGCGAGGGATTTGGCCGGGCGAGCTCAGTTCAAGCCTGTGGAAAGGGAACTACCCATGTGTGGAAACCCGAAACCCTGCTCACGAGGCAGCGGAGGGCGACCTTCAGCTGCAGGAGATCTTGAACCACAATGTGCTGGCACCCAGCGGGCGGTTCACGGTTTGGATGCAGGAGTTCTGTAGGGCCAAAGCTATGAACATCAGGGAGAGGTTAGGTTAGGTCCGGAAGTGTAGTAAGTAGTAGTTTCGGAGCGCAGCTTTGCGCTTGTTTCCATCCGGCGCAGGCAGCCTCATGAAGTCTGTGCGTTGTGGAAGTCAGCAGAGGCGTCGAGGTGCAGGTTGCCTCACTGAGGTCTTCGTGCTGGAGGGAGGCCCGGATGCTGAAGTGTGGTGCGGTTTTACTGAGATCGTACTGTCGTATAGTTCTGCGATGTGCTACTCCTACAGCGTCGTTGTCAAGAGGTATGCGGTCATGCGAACTATTTCTTGTACAGTTACCGTATCGTGCATGTGTCCGCGCTGGCCTGCCACCCAAGGGTTGGATTTCGAAATTTGGTGGAGAGTCTGACTGCGGAGGTTTTCAAGTGCTGTGCATTTGTTGGGGGATTGTAAAGAGGACCCCCAATAAAGGGAACTGCTCACATGGCTCTCGGCGCCCAGCATCGCGGCAGGCTCAGCTGCCCTCTATGGATTACCTTCGATCTTCAATCACTGCCTGGACCCAACAGTCGTGAGCTGTTTACTGTAAGAGTCTGCACATCCAGCGTTAGGTTGACCTTTTGAAACGACCGACGTACTCTTTCTATGTTGGGGTTTGTAGGTTTTTGCAGCGAAGTGGCATGCCGCGAATGCCCGCACGCGCTGGTGACAAGCTGGACATACTCTTCTGGAACCTTGAGCCCACGAAGCACTTGGCCGTCAGCTTCACTTTTTCGAGTCTTCGATGTGAGGCTGTGACGGGCAGGGAGGTTCGACAATGAAGCTCATCCTCACCTTTTTAGACAAGGCGCCGGGATCTGTCGAAAGGGAGATTTCTTCCGGAAGGTTACGGGAGCTTTCGTCCGGTGCCGTTGCTGGGTTTGTGCTCATAACCTGACACACTATGCTATACTATACTATACCATACTATAGCATGCTATACTATAACAAACTATACTGTACTATTTCAATCTCGGAGCTCTTCGGGCTGACCTCTCTTCCGAGGCTCCTGAGCGTGGGTCATCTGCTTCCGTGTTCATCCTTGATTGAGCTTATAGCCCCCTGTTTTACTTTTGCGCTGATTGACACATGCACTTCCGGTTTTTAGCATTGCAATCGGGGAGATAGCCTGCAGCCCCAGCTGACGGAGGCCATGATCTTCACGGCCACGCGAGACATGGACGCTGGCG